GTCAGTGGGTTCCATCACCCATGCCCTCCTGGTTCCCGCCACAGATTAGTCCAGGAATCAGGGAACTGCTCACCTGAGTGGCTTTTCATCTGGTCAACAGCCACCACCAGAGGGCAGAGCTGGAGAGGAAGGGGAGGGTGTTAGTTCAATCCTTGCCATGTCCAGGTCACCAGGCCCTCTTCTACATGCCAAGGGCAGATGGTGGTCACCCCTGTCCTCCAGGGACTACCGAGGCAGATTTTTTCACTATAAGGAAAAACTTTCCAAAGCTTAGAGTCATTGGAAAATAGTTTCTCAGTGGGGTTTGCTCCCTGTCTCACCTGGATAACATTATGACTTGAGCAGAAGCGGACAGAAGCCAAGAATCAGGTGAGGGTCGATTAGAAGATCTACTTTGAAGGTTCTTTTCAAATCTGGGATCCTACAAGAAATTTTGGAAACTGAAACGTAGAGAAAAGACTTTCCCTTTCCATTCAAGCAACAGTCACCCGTGGGAGCACACCATCCAAACCCCCCTTCCCAAGGATAAGAAATCACCCAAGAGGTGACAAAATCAAAGGTAATGAGAATGAGGTGAGCAAACACATCTGGGGAGTGTAACCCCAAGGACAGGCATTGAGGGCTGAGCGTCGGAAAGGAGTTGGGTGGCCTTGGTCAAGCGGGGTCCTGGGAGGAAATGGCAGTGATCAAATGGTAGCTCTCAGAGCGGTAAATGCTCAAGAAATAGAGCATATGTTTAGTCCCACTTTACAGCCAAGACCACCAGGGTCCTGAAAGGTTAAAGGGCTTCCTTTAAGGGCAATTGGAAGAGCAGGCTTTGGTCGTAGAGCTCCACCTCCTACTGTGCTGCTGCTCCCTCCTTTTGAAGGTCTCAGTTGATGACCTGTGAAATGGGTGGAATCTAGACCACTGATGTAGGAACATTGTCCCTGCACCAAGCTGCCCCCCGAGGAGGGCTGGGCACCCCTGCCACAGTCACCAGTCTCAGACAGTGCTGAGCCTGCCTGGTCTCTTTGGCAGGGTGGCCCAAAGCCGGCCAGTGGGGCACCAGGCTGTTTTCCATTTGCCTGCCCATGGCAGGGCCAGCTCAGCTCCCCTCTCCTTTCTGGGGATCCAAGGTTCTGAGATTCTGCCAGCTGCCTGCCCTGGGAAGAAGGGGAAGGCCAGCACCTGTGGGAAAAATCATTCACTGCCACCTGTTGGCTGGTGGCAGCAGGGTCAGGTCAGGGCCTGGGGGAGCCCTGCCAGCTGGCATAGCAGCTGTCCAGGTGTGGGGTGGGGGGGAGGGTAATTCGGGTCCTCCTCCTACACCCTGGGCCTGTTGAAAGTTTGTTTATTCCTCTGCTTCAGCACCTCTTGTATGTGTGCCCTCCAGTCCCCTGACCTTGTCCTTTCCTTGCCCTTGCGAGGCTGCCATCACCTCTTTCTAGGTCCCTACACCTCCCCCTCCAGGTCATCCTCCCC